AGTGGTACAGTGCTTGTCTACCATGTACAAGGCCCTGTGTTCAACCCCTAGCACGTAGAAAAGAAAGCTTCAGGAAGGATGCAAGGCTCACCTGTTGTAGGGCTTCCTGCTTGCAGCATCTTTGCTCCATCTCAGTGCTGTACGGTGAGGCTTGCATCTTCCACGGCTACCTCAACTGCAGCTTCCTAGAGCTGCCCTGCTTGTGTCACTTCCTGTAAATGGAGCTCTTTCAACCGCATCTTCCATTCAGCCAGTATGATGACCATCCGAAAGTAGCCCTCCCAGAAGCCCCTGGCCAGAAGCAGAACTAGTAGCACAAAATAAAAATGTGGTACCCTTTGCTCAAAATTCATTATGGATTTCAAGATGGTGACAGTAGAATAAACCATGCTCTCCTGGACATGTACTCCTGTGTGACAGCACAGATTGTAGGCCCATGAAGCCAGAGCTGGCTTAGCAACCCCTGTGACTTGAAAGTTTATTTTCTGTTGAAAACATGGATGCATTTAAAACTCAGCATTCTGTTAGCCAGTATGGAGGTACATGTCTGTAACCCCAGCACTCTGTGGGGGCTGAGGCAGGAGGATTGCAAGTTCAAGCCCAGCCTGGGCAACTTAGTAAGACCATCTCAAATTAAAAAATGACAAAGGGCTGGGGATGTAGCTCAGTTCCAAGGCTCTGGGTTCTGTCCTCAGAACACACACAAAAGAAAATGTTCTTGATGAAATATTTTGGGTCCCCACCATCAGTCATTTCCATTTCTGTCTCAGCGCACTATAATGATTTTATTTGATCACACAAGGTTTCTTCTTTTCAGACTATGAGCTTCTGAGTCAAGTCTCATTCCTCTTTGAATTACTGTAGCTGGGATGTGCTTGGTGTGTTGGTTAAGTGAATGGCCCAAGGGGAAGAGGGAAATAGATGTGCTATAGATGAGAATAGTCTACAGTGATGGGATCCTTTCAGTGACCAAGTACCCAAACAGCAACCCCAGACCCACTTATTTATTGCACAATGTCAACACTGTAATTAAACCCAAATACTGAGGTTCTGATTTAAGAAAAACAACTGTTATCTGACGGTCGGCTGTGGGGAAAACTTAGCTCAAGTGCTGACAGAGGCCTCTGCATGCCCGCTGTGGTTTGTGTGCCACAGGTTCACTACCACTGGTCTAGAACCTTTTAAAGTGCAAAGGCAAACATTTGTGAGAGTAGGGACCTTGGGTGTCTGACACACCCCCAACCCTTCTAGTTCATAGTTAATAGTGGGTAACTCATGGGTGGCTCAGAAGTTTGTAAATGAAAGATGAAAAACCAGCAAGAGGCAAAGGTTTCGGTAGTCATGGCCACCTCCCATGTTTTTCTGTAGACTGCCCTAAAGTGTCAGTTGGCATGGTCCTTGCCCTTCACGAAGACTGTGCTGCAGAATCACCAGAAATTCCGGAGGCCTACTCCTTGCCACTGGTTCATTTAGACCCCATGCCTGGTCCATCTGGGTCCTATATCTCATTCTTGAAGGACTTTTTCAGGCACCTCCAGTACTTGCTAAGTTCATAACCATGAATTCCTGTGACAAGTCTTGGGGACTAAGATATTTCATGCACAGGGATGAAATCTTTGCTGAGGGACTCCAACTAAAAGAGAGCCCTCGTGATGACTGTATCATGCACTGTGGCTGGGTCCCCCATCTACCTCCTACCTGATCTATGTAGGGCCAGCCGTCGAGGGGACAATGTATGTCTGCTTGGAAACAGCCCTTCAAGGACTGGCTGTAAGCCTCTTGATCTTATGAAACCCATTTATGAGACCGGCTTTGTTGTGGGGCATTCTGGAGGTAATGTTATAGTTTTATTAGAATAAAGGCCCCTCATTTTTAGGGTATGGGATTCACGAATTGGCTGGATTCTGTAGTCAGTAACAGTATGTTTAGTAAGCTTTGTAACCCCTCAAAGCAGACTGATGCTCAGAGTCTGTCAGAGAGAAGCTCACAATTAAAGCATAAACCAAGATGCCTGCCTTGGCCCAGCCCTGTTTGCTTCACAGTGGTTGAGATGGGTGCCATCGGGAGCCATGCAGTTCGAGAATAATAGGATCATTTTCTATTTCTTATTGTCTCTCTGTGCAAAGCCCAAGGGGCTGTAGAGAACATGCCTGGTTCATGGTAGCCCTGTCCTTAAAAATAGCCTTGCTGTCTCTATGGAATTTGAAACCAAGATCTCTTCACTTGATTAAAACTGCTTGAATATTCCTAGAGTAGTTTCTGTCTATGCACAAGGTCTTTTGGCCTGCATCACCAAGGTAACCCCATTTGCTCCTCTTCCATGGGCCAAGTACACACACTTCCAAGATATGGGAATGTTTCCAGTCCTTTAAAAAGCCAGTTTGAGCTGTGTGTGGTGGCGCACGCCTGTAATCCCAGCACTCAGGAAGCCGAGGTAGGAGGATCATTGTGAGTTCAAGACCAGCCTGGGCTGCAAAGTGAGCTCAAGGCCAGCCTGGACTGCATAATGAGACCATGTCTCAAACAAAAAAGCCAGTTTGAGCTACTATTGAGCTTTTGAGAGGATTGTGATAACGGGACTGTCATCTCTGATCAGATAAGGGCTTTAATTTAAGAGTTGGAACAGTTTGCTGTGGTAATAAGCACAGCTAGAGGAGACAGGGAGTGCCATTGTTCCAAAAGTAACAGGGTTCAAATTAAATTTTGCCCAAATTGGTAAAGAACTGAAAACTTTGGCTTCTTTTATGATATACTTTGAAGCAAAGAATTCTCAGGGTTAGACATTTATCACTTTCGTGATTTTACCATATTTTAAGTACTACCTGAAATACTTTTTTACGTTTTTTAAAAATTTATTTACTGCTGTACATGAGCAAATTAATTTTTCTGCTGTAAATGGAAAGCTCATATTACTGGTACTTAATTGGAGGAAATAAATACAATGAAAACAAAGGTTATCTTGAGCTAGATACTACTGCTTACCAAAGGTTCTGAACCTAAGGCCTAGCTCCCGTTATTTGGTAGACTGGCCTGGGGTGAAGACACCTACCATCAAGTTGCAATTTCCATTCAGGGAAAATGATGGCTGGAAGACAGCAACCTTTTTTCTCTCTTCACTTAATTACTTCAGTGCTTTTTATTCCAAGTTGTACTGAGTTCACTTTTGAGAAACACTACCTTTGGAAAATCCATTCCCTTTGTATTCTGTGTGAGCAAGTGGCTGGAACTGTGTGTGAAATCCCTTTCTTGAATGGATAAAACTCCCCAAGGGAGGTAGACATTCTCCCTGAACTCGAGAAATGTGTAAGTGTTGGAAAAAACTGATCCTAGGAAAAAAGACATGGCAAATGTATAGAAGCAACAGTGCCAGAAATATCCAAGTACTTAACTATCCAGCTGTCAGCTGCAGAGAAAAGACAGGCTTATAGTTTTGTACACTGGATCTAGCCCTTGCACTAGAAGAGCACTCGATGTGGCAGGGTCATGGCAGGCAGTCAGTAAACACGTCAGGTTATGCAAATTACAGTGTGATTCTCCCAGCCATGGCAGAACCCTAAAGATCATGGCTGGGAAATGGGTTGACACAGTGGGAGAGGTTATGGGAAGCCAGGTTTGGAGAGAACCTGACGGGGTAAGGTAGAGAGCCAATGTGGACGCCCAAACACAGTGATTCAGATATAAAGTGCATGGTACAAATGAAAACCTCTCCAAGGTCAAAGCCTTTAGGTGGCCTCCAAAATGGAAGTCCAGTGTGAATAAAGTCTTTCCTTTCTTATACCTACTCCTGATTACCTTCTTAATCAAAAGCATCATGCACTTGATTTACACCCTGCAAAATGAGCTGATGTGTCAACAAAGCATCTTGTTATAGAAGCAACACCTTCTATTTCTGTACATATGGGGGTCCCTTTCTGAGAAACGCAGTTTCATATAAGGAGACTGTTTATGGATCTTGTTATTTCCTCAATAACTGAGGGTGCCTAGAAACTTTATAGTTAAGCAGTTCTTTGTTACTTTTTAGTCAGTGGAATCACAGTTCCTCTGGTATTAATTCACCAGCAGTGTGCTCTAGTTAAGCATTACAGCAGCAATATTACAATAATTTGGTAATTATTACCAGATGACTAAGAATTCGGTAATAATTAAGAATAAACAGGAGTGGCAAATCACAGCTATAAAAGCAGACTAGTTGGCGGGTACCAAAGCTTTCCTGGGGTTTTTGAGCCTACCCTAGTGTTACAGAACCAGCCATGGCCTCTGATGTTTTGTTCACCCGCCTGAACTTCTGGAGATGAGTGAGTCTCAAGGCAGGAAGGAGCTGCCAGAGCTGTGGCTGCACAGGCGTGGGGCAGGGCTTCCCTTTTCAGGGATAAGCTGCCATGACTTTCATTTGGGCATTTCCCACATGGGCCTGGGCCAAGAGACAGTAGATCTTCAGCTCTATTACACCTGGGAAATAGTTTTCAAAAAACTCTTACCTTCTCATACAAAAGCTAAACTTTCATGTAGGCCAAACACAGAACCAAAAAGCAAGGAAGTTCAAGTCTTCTAAATTACTGAACCTCAAACCTACTTTCATTTTTTTAAATGGAACTTCAACTTTGATGTATTTTTTTTCTCTCTCTTTTTTTGAGACAAGTTTGCACTATATAATCCAGGCTGGCCTTGAACTCACTATGTAGCCTCGGCTAGCCTCAAATTCACAGCGATCCTCCTGTCTCAGCCTCCCAAAGGCTGGGATTATAGGTATGTGGCACCACACCCAGCATATTCTTCTCTTTTTTAAAACAGTCATATCCAGAGAGGCACTGGCAAGAACTAGAATTTCATGATTTATAAAATTAGCACTTCAAAAAATTTCTAAAGTCAAACTCCAAACTAAAGATTCTTTGATTCTTTGCATCTTCTCTTTGGGAAGGGATGTTCCTGGTTGCCCGGCAGCCAGACTATGACGCAGCTCTTTATCTGTGAACTAATGAAATCACATATTTCACTTTCAGGTTCAGTACTTCTTCAAGATCTTGGACAATTAGCAGGACAGAAAGTAAAGACGTAACAGAGTGGGGCCTTTAGACAAGAATGAATCACGGACATGAGGAATGTGTTCATTCTTTTATTGTCCATTGTTTTAACCTGACTGATACAAGATCAACAAGAGCACTGTACTCCTGGCAATTATTACATATGTTAGAACATGGATTTGCACTGTAGACAACATTTAACACCAGTCTATGGGGTACTGCATTGCTTTTATAAAGTTCAAAATAAAGATTTATTTTCAAACAAGTGACTTTGGTTTATTTCATACATTACACTTTTTCTTGCAGAAAAAAATAAAATTGTACAACTGCATAAATATAAAATTCTTCCACCATGAAAATGGTTAAAACATTCATAAAGACACAGCACCAGCGTGTGATGCCTCCAGAGAAAGGAAAAAAGGAAAAGAAAATGTACAAAGCAAACTAACTAGCCCTGTCACTAACCAAAGTGACAGGCGGAGCCAGATCTCAGACACAGCTTTAGAATACACTGGAGGACCAGGGAGGAGATGTCAAGACAGCATTCGGTATAAAGCACAACACAACCCATCACCTTTTTTGTGTTTTTCTGTGGTGTCACTTAAAAGGGCAGTTCCCCCATGACAGCCCACCCCCCACCCAAGCCCCAGGGAAAAAAATAACAAAGTAATACCTAACATCACAGGAGAAGACTATGGAGTGTGTGTTAAAAATGTTCATTGATGGGCCATTATCTTGGAAAGAGCCAAACAAACAAACAAAAAAAAAGAAAAAAAAAGTACCATGCCAGTTTTATTCCCAGTGAATATTTACACCTTGGACAGCAAACCTTGCTCACATACAGTAGAAAACAGATATGATAAAACATGGCTTGAAAAATGACCAGAGTATGCACCTATTGTACTGTACACTAAATAAAATACACAAGGCAGCAATACTTAGGGGCCAGAAACACTGCTTACTACAAGTCAGTTATGGAATCATAATTTACAGTAAAAATGGGCACTCCCAAGGCTCAATTTTTATTTTTCTTTTGTCATTTACAGTAGAATAAATATTTTGTTGCTATTGCTACACTTTAAATTTACATTCTAACCTATTAAATGCAGAAAGCTAGTGTAAAGCATATAGATTAAGTGTAGGTCCCATACGTATGACAGTTTGTTCAAGACTAGTAGGTTTTGTTTTTGTAATTTTTTAACTTATTAAATGGCTAGAGGGGAGGATTTGTGCTTATGATCAGCTCTTAACTTCAATTTTTACATCAAAGCGTCCCTGAAAACGGTCTTTCTCACTGTACCCAATGTTCTCACCGTACGCCTTACACTCAATGCGAACTTCAGTGTCCATGGTGAGGTTGGTGAACTGTACGGCCAGCAGGGGCTGCAGATACTTGGGCTGCAGGAGTTTGCCGTAGTAGGGGTAATACTGCAGAGGAAACCCGGCGAATCCGCCCATTCCAAAGTATTCCACAGTTCCAATTTTATCTTTATCATCTTCTCGCTAAAACCCAGAGTGAAATGTGGTATTAAGGTTTACATACATACAAGACACAACCCCACGGGGCAGCTGGCAGGCTACTGCTGGGGGAAAAAAAAAACCATCCTGATATGCCGCACTCAGCTTGCTCTCAGAAGTAGGGGACAACAAGTGCTGGAAGACACTGGTAGGACTAGATGCCATGGGAAGAACATGTATCTGGCCTAGTCGCCCCAGCCTTGAGAAGTGGTCATAGGCGGAAGCTATTTTCATTGTGCAAACAGGGATACTCACGCAAAAACCAAACGAACACTTCTCTAAGCCAGCATAGCCTCCTTTGAGGCAAGGGTGACAGTGAAAGAATGCCCAGTGTTGACCGGGCACTGCCAGTGCCGGCACTACCATCTCCAAATGTTTACCTATTTGCCTATCATGTCTTACAGAGTTTCTTTTGGTGTCAGCATGAAGTGGCTCTGGGGATTCCCTTTTCTTCTGCCCTTTCTCTCTAAACAGTTGTCATCAGCTATCTGCTTTTAGACCTGGGCTGAAAATATCTTGATTGTTACCTTAACCTTCCAAGATTTTTTAAAAGAAAGCTGTATCAAAAAATTTTATGTGCCTTCATCAGGAATAAAGCTGGCCCCAACTTACTAACCAATGTTGTAGGCCAGGCACAAGCACTTCTGTGGGTTAGTTCACCTCTCAGTTCTATTCCAATAGATTAAGATATTTGAGTTTCTTGTACCTGTAATCTTTGGTTTTTTTTTACCGAGACTCAAACTCAGGACCTTGCGCTTGCCAGGCAGGCACTTGTGCCACTGAGCTATATCCCCAGCCAAAACTTTTTTTTTTCCTTTTTTTCTTCCAGTACCAGGAATCGAACTAATGACCTTGCGCTTGCCAGGCAGGCGTTGTGCCACTGAGCTAAATCCCCAGCCCTCTTGTACCTATAGAGAAACTGGCATGCAGTTTTGTTCCTGCTGTGTTTTTCTGTCCTTCGAAGAAGTTTCACCCCGTATAGTAAGAGCTTAACTTTCTGAGGTTCATATCGAAGAGCACCATTTCTGTTCGCTGTATTACAATTTTACCCCATCTTAAAACAACAACATTCATTCCCTCTTTTCCACCACCCTTTCCCACCCATCCTCAGTACCCCTAAGTGTCCTTACCTTGCCAGTGCACTGAACCGGCAGAACATACGGGTTGTACTTCATCCCTGCGTAAATATCCGTGGACTCCAAAGACTCATTCTTGGGAGGCTACAGATAAAACCCACCTTGGTCAGTAAGATCTATATTCTTTTTTAAAGAAAAACATACTGATGACGATAAGTCTATCAAAGTAATAAAACACATCAGGATAGCAAAGTAAATGACTGTTAGCCAACCTAGGGAACCGTTTGTGAGTGTGTTGAAGGCAAGTGAGTACCCTAATTTTGTGAGCACTATAGCTAAGCTATGGTATAGCCCAGTGGTCTGTGCTCAGAGGAACACAAGATGCACCTTACACACAGACAACAAAAAATAAGAGACCCCCAACCATAATGCTCATTGCTTGCTAAGATCATAATGACGTGGCAAAGCTGACGGATACTTGGGCTTTCCTCCTGAGCCAGGTAAAAGTAACATGATCCTTTTCCCTCCACAAGGGGGCTTTTCTTCTCATTTTTCATCTCAAAGGGCGGGGAGGGGGACTGCTGCCATCTAAGGAGCATTTCTAACTGTCAGAAAAGTCTAATATGCAAAACAGCTAAGACAGCATTCCTTAAAAGAAAGGATGAGTCCATTAAAGGATCCAGAGAACAGTCTGAAAACCAGCTGTTGTCATGAAATATTCACAGCTGTCGCTCCTACATCACTGCCTCAAATCTACCACAGAAGTGGAAAACAGCCACCTGCTCATGTCAACGTGACATGTGAGTCTTGACAGCAGGAATAATACACACCTGGTCTGAGTCTGATAAATGGACAGCTCCTTGCATCAGTAAGAAATTCAGATTTTGGTGTACTACTCTTTACTTTGGAAAATAAGAAAACGATTGTGTAGCATTGACTCTTTTGGAAGGGAAAATGCTTAGTGATCAAGACAGTCACCAAGATCTGTCCTCAGAAGATGACACCAAGTGAGATGTTAGGGCATGTGCCAATGCCAAAACAGCAGGCGATCTGAGTGGGAGTGACGAATGAATCCATAACCAAGTGGAGACCAAAGGCAAAAGAGAAAAAAAAAAAAATTGAATTCATCACTTGATAGAATACCCAGATGTGGGAAGAGGCTCTGTGAGGTACAAACATCCCCGAATGCCTATGACGAGGAACATCAAAAGCAAAGGTCTCGAGTAGAGATTAATTTTAGTCTTCCTTCAGCCATGCCACACCAAGTCCTTTTTTTCCAAAATAGCAGACTGACCTTAGTGAAATGTTCCCTACCAATACGAACACCAAATACAAGCAAGGAATAATGATTCTCACCATTTTTCTCTCATTGTCTTCTAACCTAAGTGCAAAGAAGATTAAAATTGTGTGGAAAAGTAAACTAATTTCTGTGGGAAAGCCAACCAGCCAGCCATCTTATACCCACTTAGCCACTTTTGCCTCTGGTGGCAGTAAAGACACTCATGCATCCTTAATAAAAGTTTTCATCTCTATACCAATTTTCTTTTGAAAATATTCTTTGAGTTAAAAGCAATGTAGAAACAAATTAACAGCATTTAGTACAAAACTAATGAACAAAAGAGCTGGATTTCAAAAGTGAAACAACTTCTAGGTAACTGGCATCACAACTTTAAGCCCTACAGCAATGTGCATACAATTAGTAGACCTCCGACATTTAGTCTTACAAGTAGATCAAGTCTAGAATTTAGGCATTTTTACTTCTATAGAGTTTTGAATCTTCCTATAATTGCAGCTTTTATTTTTGGGCATTGAAAAATCCCATCTAGGAAATAACTAAAGTAAAAATGACAGGAAATAGAAATTACTTTTTCAGGAACATTTTGATACAAATTTTATCAAGCCAACTGACTCACTCATTCCTTACGCTGGTTATACTGAATATTTAATACAAACAGGGAAGCATTCATTTTATTTATAGGCATTTAAAAATTCCATCCTTTACAAATTATCAAGGTTGGGGCAACCAAAATTATATTTTTATCATAGAGAAAAATTTCAATTCCTAAGCCACAACGCTGAGAATATTTTCTTTAGAATTTCATGAACAGGCAAATGAAGGCTTATCACAGAATGATTGTATCTTCTTTTCTCTCTCTAGAACATCAACACCAGTAATATAAAGTCTATTTACACTACCAAAAAAATGAAATTTTTTTTTTTTGGTTTTTGGTTTTTCTCCGGTACCGGGAACCGAACTCACGACCTTGCGCTTGCCAGGCAGACGCTTTTGCCGCTGAGCTAAATCCCCAGCCCCCAAAAAATGAAATTAGATTGTTCATGTAACTCAGTGCACTGCAGAAAACTCCTATCAGAATTAAAAACTTTACTCATAATGACAAAGCTCACACGTGTGGTGGGGAGCTGGCAGAAGCCATGCCTAAAGGATAAGGACATGATCTGCAGAGAATGAAATAGCTACTTTTGTAAAAATAGAGAAAATACCAATACTTTTTTCTTCTCTTAAAAAAATTAAATTATTTTCACTAAATGGTGAGCAGTTGCAATCTCAATTTCCCAGGGATCTCAGGTAATGTTTACCAATTTTAAGCTGCAAAAAGCCAGCAGCGTGGTTACCAAAGCTCATCCTAGGCATTCAATTTATTTTATGCAATAAAATCATCACTCAGAAAAAAACTTTTTTCTCAGATTACGAGATAATAGTATTAATATACCTGCATGGCTCCAAGAGGCCCAAAGCCAGAATATGACTGGACATGCAGGTGATATTCATTTGAACCCTTGCACAAGGCAGGCAAGCCCAACCCAGGAGATTTTTAAATTTAAAATGTCCTTTTCTATTTTTACTTTCAGTTTCCATGCTGTAGAAACTGTTAATTGGGTACTAAGTAGAAGTATTAAGAACAGGACCATTGGGATCGCTTCAGACTTCGGCATTGCCATTCAGAATTCCTCTAACTTTAGAAAATGAGAACCATACCCTAACTCTTAAGAGTTTCAGGTCAAACATAAAAATGTTGATGTTATTCTACTGATTGGGCCTCAAAAATCGGCACTTAATATACTTTAAGGCTTCTTTATAATATATTGCCTTCTCGTATCAATGAACTACTTCATCCAAAATGTGAGTGGCTCGTCTGAGTCCTATCACTAGAA